AAAAAAAAAAAAAAAAAAGAGCTTGGAAAATTCTCCTATATTCACTCTCAAAAAATTCTTGAGTTCTATGTTTAGTTAATTGGATGTGTGAAATTTTAGTCTAACTTTAGCCATAAGTTGGAAAAAAGTTTATGATCATTCATACATATTTTGACATTGTTGGGAATTGTTCTTTCCATAAATGATGAATGTATATTACTGCACTATTTGAAACACATGATTCAGATTTTAAGATTCTAATGTATTTAAACTTCATAAGAATCAAATAAGTTCACTATATTAAATTGTTGGTTATGAGATCTTTTTTGAACATTCTATCAAAGTATTGAAATGTTGGGAAAAATATTCTAAGAGTAGTAAATATTTTAACCGTGCCAAAATGTTTGAAGAAAATAAAATATTTAAGGAATAATAAAAGTTTATGTTACTATATCAATTGTATTCCTCAGATTGAACTCATGGATTATGAATTAGATTGAACTAATAAATTATGAATTATTGCGAGGGTATAGTATAAATATAGATGAAGTTGAAATCACATATTTCACTATTGATTACTATTAATTATGAATTATTATATAATTAATTTAACATATGAGAGGCTTGTATACATAAAATCACAATTTAAGATACAAAAAGAATGAGCAGCTATATCTTCACATATGTCAATGATTGGTTGTTGAGATCATATGACTTTGATATTTGTTATCAATGATTGGTCCGAGGTAGGATTTTGTTAATTTTTGTGTTACACATTTGTTTCCTAGATAAGATAGAGGATAAAATATGTGAATTACCAATATGCCCCTAATATAATTAATAAAAACGGGTAAATTGCATCAAACCCCCCTGTGTTTAATGAAATATGCACGTTTCCCCACTGTGTTTTAAAAACTGCATCAGACCCCCTTATGTTTAAGTAATTGTTGCACGGATCCCCCATTCCGTCCAAGTTAACCGCGCGTGTGTGACACCTTCTCTGGCTGCGAGATTTATTCAATTTCTTTATTTTCAGAATTACTTATTTACCATTATGCCCTCCTGAATTGTATTGCAAAAGCTAAAAATTTATAGTGCAAGAAGTGGGACTCGAACCCGTATTAAAAATTTATAGTGCAAGAAGTGGGACTCGAACCCGGATTGCAGAGGGATGGTGCGCGCCAACAAAGCCACTAGGCTACATGAATGTAGTGTAAACTATTGAACAAACATATATTTATAATATAAAACGAAAATAAATTAAATAAAATAAAAATAAAGAAATCTAATAGGTAAATTAATATAAATTAAATAACTAATAATAATAATAACTTGAAATAAATTAAATTAACATAAAAATAATGAAACAATTAAATTAAAATAAAGTAAGATAAAATTTAATATAGTAGCATGAATTAAAATTAAATCATTATTAATTTTTAATTACTAAAATAATTTAATTAAATAAATTTTGAAATGAAAAATAATGATAATAAAATTAAAAAAAAATATTACAGATAATAATGTATAAAAATTGTAAAGTGAAATAAAATAATAAATCAAATGAGGTATTATATTATAATAAATTAAAGTAAATAAAAATCTTAAATTAATATAATAAAAAAAAAAACATAATTTATCAAATACGTGTAATATGATTTACTCTTACATACAATATCAATGAGAACAATTGAAATAAATTATAATTTTTTAGTAAAAGATTTAGTTTCTAATAAATAATTTAATTTCTAATTTTATTAGTAGAATTTATCTTAATTTTATTACATTATCTTAAGAAACAAAACAAATAAAGTTTGTTAACTAAGAAAATATATAATGAACAGTGCAATAAAATTATATGGAATAATATAAATTAAATAAATAATAAAATACAAAAATAATCTAAATATAAATACAATAAATATTTTTATTTTAACTTTAATTTTTAAATTTATTTATAATTTATTTTAATTATTGTTGTTTTTGTTTAATATAATAAGTTATTTTTTATTTTTGGTTCACTTAATTTTATATAATTTGGTTCAGTATATTTTAATTTATCATATCTTTATATTTTAATAATTTAATTTATTATTTACATTATCTTCTTAATTAAATTTCATTTATTCATGTGTAATGCCAATATATATTAACCTTTACTACATCTAACAGTCAAGCTTGAGTGGTGCAATGGTTGCTTGCATTGCCTTGCTTGAACACGGTCTGAGGTTCGAACCCTCAAGACAGCATTTTTTTTAATTCAATTTCTCGCGATATATTCAATATATCGTGAAAAATTCAATTTATCGAAAATATATATATAATATTCGAAGGGTATAACGGAATTTTTGTAAAAAAATTAACGCCGTTAACAAGCAGTTAAAAAAAGGGAGCGTTTGCATTGGTTGCTTAAACATAAGGGGCTCTGGTGCAGTTTTTAAAACACAGTGGAGAAACGTGCATATTTCATTAAACACAGGGGGGTTTGGTGCAATTTACCCTAATAAAAACACATAAAATATATCTAGAAGAAATATTAAATGGACGTAAAATGTTATATAACATGTGTAAAAATACCTAAATTGTTCTATATTATTATAAAAAAAATTATAAATTCGCTTAAAATTTTCTAAACTATTTTGAAAAACATATTTAAATTTTATACATTTTCAAATCAAAAGTCTTTCAAAGACACACCTTGCACTAAATTATTCAATTTGTTTGAATATTACCTCGTATTATTCAACTTTAGTTTAAGTTTTTTGAATATTATCATATTATTTTTTTTTAGTTTTTTGCTTGTTTTTTTTTTTTTTCCAAACAATTTTTTTTTTTTTTTTTCCAAACAATAAAAAGTTTTTTGCTTGGTACATTTAAAAATTTGTTGACACTACACAAGAACAACCCAAAAGATGATATTTTTGCAGCTTTTATCATAATTTTTAACAAAAACTGGAAGACAAATCTGCATTTTTAAACGAAAAATTGAGACATAATAGTACACCAACCTTAAATACTAAAAAGTTAGTAGACAAAAATGAAAACAGATATGCATTTTTAATTTTTATACGTCTTTTTTTTAACCTTTTTTTTTTTTTTTT